GGCTTGGTGGCTTTAGGTATAGGTGGTCTCAAATGCTCATGTGCACACACCTTGAACATAATATCTCACATTTTCTACTTGTTGTTTTAAAGTTCTCCTGATAACTGGTGGCTGGGAATCTAAGCCAGGTTCTTGAATAAAGGCTTCAGGGTTGTTTCTCTGTGCTAACGGAGTGCTCCTGGGGACTGCCAGGCCGCCCAGGGCTCTGCCAGCTAAGTCAAGAGCCTGTCCAGAGAGCCTGTGATCACCATTCATGGGAGTACTTGCGGGGAGGTAGGACACAGCCCTGCCGGTGGGCACATGAAGCTGAGGGGGTGTCTTACAGCCGCATGTGACAGGATTAAAACCAGGTTTTTGCTCTGTTTTGGGATGATTTGCTTTGTTCTTCCTTGAAAATGTTCTCTTTATTAAAAAAGACTAGAAGGAACTATGCTCACATGCTTTAGGGGAGGGTGAAATCAGGGTTTTTCCCCCCCTCTACTTATTTCCAAGTTTTTACATAATATCCTCATTATTATTACTTTTATAGCTGAAAAAAAATTACAATGAAAGAAGAAAAGAAACTGAAAACTCCCTTAGCTCTATGGGCCTCTGGGATGAATGAGTCACTAATTTTCAAATTCTGCTCTGCTGTGGAGTCCTTGGGCTGCCACAGGCAGGGAGGTGGGGACTAAGAGGGAGGGTGGGGGCTCCCTCCCACTTACCGCAAATAGCCTCAGTCTATTTTACATGTTGAGCCTCTAAGTGTGACAGCTTTTACCAGAAGGTTTTGTGGCACCAAGTAAAGATTAAAATAGTGGTGTTCTCCAAATATCCCTCCTTTTAAGAATACTTCCTCTTCCAAATCACTTGAGAAAGACATTTTATAATATTCTAAAATATTCTATCGTGTGACTTAAGCAGGCTAAGTGTAATCTGACTTTGGTGACAGGGACACATGATTCTGTGGCTTATGTACCTGGCTGCAGTCCAGCATGCCCCAGCCTTAGCACGGGCAGCCACAGGCAGCTGAGTTCTGAGCATCCTGGCTGCTTCTCCCAGCCTTCATTTACCGGAGGCAGCAAGACCCAGTGCTTAAGAGACTCCATGTTTCAATCTCAACGAGGAATTATTACCTTGGGCAATTTACTTAACTGTTCAGTCTCAGTTTCCTCATCTGCAAAATGGGTATATAAGAGTGTCTACTTCACAGGCTTGTGGAAGAGCATGTCAATACACTAAGGCACTCAGTCTATGCTAATACTGATACTATCACAATGACAGTTATAGATCATTACGATGATTATAGCTGTTAGATCCACTGTGGTTATAGGTACATCCCGAGTGTCAGGGCACCTGTGGGATTATTTTGGAGCAGGCACCTTCTCACTTCCTGTGTGTGCTCCACTGTGGTCCCGGAAACCAGCTCAGTGTATGTCTGAGCGAGGGCGGGTTGCTCTCACCCAGTCAACTGGCCTGAGCTTGTAGCATGTACTATAACTGCTCAGAAGCCTACTCCCTATGAAGGGAGGATAATACCAGAGTTTAGACACCTGGGGTGTTATTAGATATAGTGTCTGGTGTTCACGAAGGAGGAGCACATAAGAAAAGCAAAGAGTGTGTTTTGTTTGTTTTTAAGAAAGCGTGTCTATCTTGGAAGGGATTGAAAACAGTCCCATGTAAGCTTCATGCCTACAAGGTACAAAACCGTAAATCTGCTCAAATGCAGAGGTGCAGGAGATGAAGGCTTGTTTACCTCATATATTCCAGCCGGTAAACAGACAGGAGATAGGTAGACATGGCAAAGTCCAGCTTGTTGATGAGGGCAGACACTTCGGGGGCAGGATCCAACAGGTTGATGATGGTGCTGCGAAGCTCGCTCAGTTCGGCCTAGAGGGAAACAAACACTTGAGGGCTCAGGCGGGCACTGGAGGGGAAGATAGCGCCCCCCCAGGAGACAGGTACACCGACAGTTAACTCTGGCTAATGCGCATCTTGTTAACAAGAAAGGATCTGCTCTCAAGGCTCAAGAGAGCTTAGCAAAAACCCTGAGCTGCACTGTCTGTCTCTGGGAGGGCGAGAAGCCTTACGGGGGTGACTGTGTCGTTTTTCATAGCTGAGTTATACTGGAGGACAGACCGTAGTGGCTCTTTGCTGGGAAAGGTGAGCAGCGGGGACTTGGTGGCTATTTCACAGACCCCCTCGTACCATTCTTCTGGCCAGAGTCCTGGAAGAGAGCGCACGAGTGAGACAACTGCCCTGGTCATGAAGCACTGCAGTGGGGTTGATGCTGGCAGTTTCTAGAGTCAAGGGTCTTTTGTTTAAGCCAACTCTCCTCAAAATGGGGCACAGAAACAAATCTGTTTCCTAATTTGGGCAGGTTTTTCCAAAGATATGTGGTATTCTCAGAACTTCAAACAGAATCTGGGAAGTGTAACATTTGCAAATACTTGTAGGAAACAGCAGCTGCTTCGGGCTGATTTTGAATGTGTGCAGCACATTCGTCGTTAGGCTGAGTCCTACCTCACCGTCGCTTTCACTCGGCACTCTGCTGTCCCTGGAAGAGCAGACATGCTCCTACCTGACCCCTCCACAGCGAATCCCATCAGTACGGAATAGAGCCAGAAGTCTCGGAAGAGCTTCTGCAACCGTGGCTTAGCTTCCTTGATGGGGGGCAACCGTCGAGTGAGCTGAAGTGCCAAGGAGAGAGGGAGAAAAGGAGGTTATTTGCTCACAAAACTCTACAACCCAAGGATGTGAAATCAACCACAGATTCATTCTCCAAGAGCATTCTCTGGGAAGCTGTCAGTTAGACTGAATATGAAAAGGTACCATGAGCAATGACTGACACTTCTCACTAAGTTCCCTGGTACATATTCACTCATTCAGCAAACATTTATTAGCAGCTAACTCACACGGAGGTGAAAAGCCCCATTCCTACACTTTAAGGTCTTTCTGCCTAATTTGGAGGCAGGTAAGCAAGCACACTGTGGCCGAGTTTCCTGAGGTGTCATGAATCTCAGTGCTAGCATGCGAGTAAACCTTAGCCAGGCAGAGAAAAAGAGACCAGCCGTCCAGCGACAGGCCCAAAGCCTGGGAATGTGGAGGGTGTGGAGTGCTTGGGGGAAGGCAACAATGAATGGGGGCTAGGGCTCAGGTGAACAGATTGGAGAGACAGACTGTGAGAAACCTTGTGGGTCGAGAAGTGGCTTTCACATCTCTTCCAGCAGCTCAACTTTTCAAACCGTAATCTTAGGCAGAATCCCACTATGTACAACAGGCACAGGCAGAGCTGCATAGACGCACGAGGGATGGACTGAAGGCCCTGCGCCCCTACTCCAGACAGTGTCCTGCCCAGTGGGAAGCACGGAGTGCTCCTCAGTATGGAAAATGGTTAAATGTGTGCACAATGCCTGCTGTACAAGTGGATCCTCACAGAACCCCAGCAGACATGGAGCCTCCACACTTAAACAGAGTTCCCCTTTACTGGGGAACTCTGTGCCCATACTTAAGAGTGAAAACCAAGTACAGGTCAGACTCTGGGCCAGGGACACAGAAGTGGGACAGATGACAATCCCCGCTGCAGAGTGGGGCGAAGGACAACACAGTGAGATGAGCTCCTTCACACATGGCTAGTAGGGTTGGAAACTGGTACAGTATTTTCTGGATGCGTATTACCAAATGACCTGTGGTTACCAAATAATCAAATTACCAAAGGTTGTTTGGTAATACACATCAAAGGTCTAAATATCCCCATTTTACCTAAAATCTCATCAGTAGGAAGCTATTAAAAAAAAACCCTCACTTACTACTATTTGTTAAGATGGATGTTAACTAGATTGATTGTGATGATCATTTTGCAATACATACAAATAAAAAATCATTTTTATACACCTAAAACTAATATGTCAATTATATCTCAATGTTTAAAAAACTTGACTTAGGCATAAAAATGTTGTAACTTTGTAGAAACAGCAAAGTAAACAGAAAAACACTAAGTGTCTACTGGAAAGGAGTGTTTAAATCAATTACTGTATGAGTATAACAAGAACAGTTCACGACATCGATGTAAGCTGGCAGCCAAGGAGAGTACACTGGAATGCACATGTATGAACAACGACAAGTTTACTGTACTGGTCAGCAGGGGCGGTAGACACCACTGAGTGAGCATGTGTACTGTGTGGCATCGCATTCAAAATGACTGAGTGAGTAGATCAATGAATCTGCATCAAATTTTGCATTAAGCTTAAACATTCCTCTGTGAAAAGTATCTGGATGATTCAGAAGGCTGCAGCTATGGGCAACTGGCAACTTTGGCAGCTTCATCAGAACAACGTGCCCGCTCATGCACTGCATCTCGTGCAGAGTTTTCTGATGAAACATGAAATCACCCAGGTGATCCAGCCCTTCTGCAAGCCAGATTTGGCACCCTGCAACTCCTGGTTTCTTCCAAAACTGAAATCACCTTTGAAAGGGAAGAGATTTCAGACCGCTGATGAGATTCAGGAAAATAACAATGGGGCTGCTAATGGCGCTCAGGAGACCTGTGTGAGGTTCCAAGGTGCCGGCTCTGAAGGGGACTGAGGTGTCCTTGTCTTTTCTGGGAGTAAACTATGCTTTGTGGAGGTGATAATAACTAACTTAGACTGAGCACGAATCTCATTCTCCCTCTTCACTTTTTACCGAGCTCACAAAAGGATGGGGACGCCTGCCTGCCTGGCACCCATGTCAGCCTTGGAGACCAGGATGAAGTCAGGCGCTGTGATCATCCTAGAGGGAAAATTCACAGCCTGAGGGCAGACAAGTGGCCTCCACTTTCTTGGCAGCAGTACGGCTGCTACCCCTGGAGTAACTCAGCCCTGGAGCTCGGAAGAGCATCTCTACAATGTAGTGGCTTTAGCGAAACTACGCCCATCAGTACTTGACAATCATGCATTCAAAACATCAGCTACACCAGAGCTGGGGCCAGGGAGCCACAAGTCACTCAGCAGTAATCAAAGACAGTTGAGGGGTTTGTGCTGACAAAGCTAGTTGAGTGGTGTTTGATTTGGGACATATTTACTTTGGAAGATAGGCAACAACAGCCCAGCACCAAAGTTCACTTTGAAACTGTGCTGACGACCTTGGCTGATTTCATCTCTGCAACAACGCTTCTCAGAAACACAGAGGTGAGTTTGATTTCTAACATTTTGGCTGATTATAAATTCTTATTTGAGGTTAGAGATGGACAATGGGTGTACTTCTCTATCAAACTACAAATTCAAAGCTTTCTATACTATCTCAGAAATGGAAAAAGGATTTTATTTTTTAATCTATTATAAAATTTTGTCAGTTACATTATTGCAACAATTGACGAAATTAAGAACAGGAATTAGATCAGGACAAGATTGCACTTATGTAAAATTATTTGAATTGGATTACTGTAGTATGATGAGGTATAAGAACAACCTTGTTCTCAGGTATTTTTTCCCTGAAAGATTAGAATTGAAAGTTAGAGGGACATCATATAAGTGACCTATTCTCAATGGTTCAGACAGAAAAAAAAGGCACATGAGTGTGCCTGTGTGTGTACATCCACACCTCTATATGGAAAGAGACAAAGAGACAGATGAAACCAGTGTTTCAAAACAGAAAATCTGGGAAAAGGGTGCACACGGGTTGTTCTACATGCCGTTCTTTGAATTTTTCTGGAAGTCTGAAGTTATATCATAATTAAGGGTTTTAAAAACCCCAGGCAGTTACTCCTCTCCCACTATTCCTGCCTCGCGTGGGCCTGTGGATAATGGACACAAGGAGCAAGGTGCCCCGGTGTGGCGCTCTGACATACAACCAAGCTCAACCCCGCTTCATGCAGGCACCATGAGAAAGAGCCTCATGAAATTCCCAGAAAAACAAACTTTAGAATGATTTACCTTAAGAAAATAATGCTTCTATTCAAAGAGAGTAATCCGGATTTAAACACAACCTAGTGAAAATTTTAAAGTATCTTATATAATTCTTGTTACACTAAATGGAAAAACAACAGGAAGATTTACTGTTTAGATCTTTAGTTTCAATTCATAGGAAATATTAGCTGTATTTTCTCCTTTCTCTTTTAAGGGAATAATGAAAACTATTTTTGGCTTTTCATCATATAATACAGGAAGAGGGTATAAGAAGATTCTGAATATACGCTCTTTTGCTGTGTATAACTTGCTCCTGTGGCACATTTTTGGCCCAAACTTTCAGGAAAAAAATCCTTTGTTTTAATTTTTTAATTCAATTATTTATATTTAGAAACAAAACCAATTATTGTATTCCAGGGTATTATTTTGCATATGGATATCGTTACTGCTTTCTAGAGTCACACATTTAATGCATAAGCATAAATAAAAGGATTAATAACACTTATATAGACACAGAATTATGGACCCATGTAAAATGCACACCTTCATTTTTCCCTCAAATATCTGGGCACAGAGTGTGCATTATACACAGCAAAATATGGTAGTCTCTGAACACAGGATAAAAACATGAATGCTTTCACCTCTGTCCCCCTATCTGGTCTCACATTCCTTTCCCCAAATTCTTATTTATTCGAGTTGGGTTTATTTTTTAATGTATTTTTATCTGAGAAGGATACTTTTCAGTGCAGCCTAGTAGGGAGACCTCCACCAGGTCACTTACTTTCCTTTCTAACTTGGAAAAGTATATCTCCATGAGTCCCTATGCCTAATTCTAGCTGGGAAGCGGGCCCAGTTCTGCTTGCAGCCACACACTTTAGAAATTATTTCATGGGCAAGCTACATGTGACACACTGCAGCCTCAGCTAGATTTGGGGGTGGTAGGTGCATGAAAAAACAGACATTTTCAAAACTAGAAACTATATGACTTTCCCTCTCCAAAACACGCAATTCAAAAGCCTCTCAGTTGTGCAGAGAACAGCAGGTGAACTGGTAATTTTAACAGTGCTGTAGGGGAAACCTCAAGGAGGGTGACTAAGGGTAGGGACACTAGTCCTGGTGCTATAGGGCAAACAGGAAGAGCGCTCAGTGAGGGGTGTGTTTGTTGCGGGAGGTTCAACCAACTTGGTTCCAATCCAGCCACAGCTATAGGTCTGTAGCCTGATGTGCAAAATGCTGCTAGGACCAAGTTACACAAAGTTGCTTGTATAGTGCCTGGCATCCAGCAGAGGCTGCACCAAGAGTCCCTGCCATTGTCAACATTAACAAACTGAGAGCACTTCAAGTCGGGTATCCATACAGTAAACCCCATCCTCAGGCCGAACAAGTCCAAATATTTACTTAACAGGAACAATAGCTCTTCTCTGACCTCGAATGAAAGCAGATATTCTGTTCTTCAAATATCTAACAGGAGATGGGAACACACACACAACAAACTTAGTAATAAGTCACAACTCCTCTTTCTGGAGTAATCAGAAGTTGAGATAATATAGGACTGTACAGCATTACAGACAGCGTCACTATCCTGGGAAAATACAGAAGCATCAAATAATAGCTCATCTACCCAAGATGCAATTAATAACCCGGAAATGAGCAAGAGAAAAGACAAAGCCATTTGGCAGGCAAAACTGATTTGACAAGCCAAGTCAAATCCTTCCTTGGGACAGGCAAAGGATGAGTAGATAAAGACAGGCTTACCACAAGGGCATGTATTAAAACTGACCCTTCCAGTACCCCTACTCCCACTGCAGGAGGCAGGGCTGCACCCCAGACTCACACTGCAGCCCCACCTGCTGTGGCAGTGTCCTTGCGAGAGCCCCTGCTTTAGTGCATGCCCCTTCCCACCCCCTGCTGCTGGTGAGCCCCTTGGTGGGGAGATTTTTATGCCTCCAGTGCCTAATATGGTCCGTGAAGACAGGAGATAAAGTTTAGTGAATGAATGAAAAAGAAACTCCCTGGGGTCTCTGAGCCCCAGGACGTTAGACCGTTACAGTTCCGCAAACCTTGAAAAAAGCAGGGGCTCTCACCAAGGGGCCCGTGGGTCCTTCAGGCAGGTTTATGAAACCCACACACAATGTTTGTATGTTTATAGTCACCAGATTCTCTTTTAAGTCCATAATCCTAAAATGGTTAAAGAACGGCCTTCCCAAGGCATCTTCCTGCGTCAAAGCCACAGGGACTTGCTACCTGAGCACCACAGAGGAGGGTGGGGTCTGCTAGGCTGCCTCTCACATGCCATGTTTTCCCTCTCAGCTTTAGCTCTGCCAAAATGAAATGCCCATTCCAACCCTTCATTGTTTCTCTCATAATAACATCTGTGTGTGGGCACGACGGCCTGGTGGAGCAGCCTGAGAAAGGAGGGAAAGGTTCCAAGTCTGTGGATCCCCAATGGGGGCAGCTAAAAGACAAAAACCTGAGCATGCCCCTTCTTCCTGCTGACTTCCACAAGGAGAACACGGTCACCAATGACTGGATCACAGAGGGGGAGGAGGACGAGGATTACCTAGATCTGGAGAAGCTGTTCAATGAAGACTACATTGACATCATCGACGTGGTTTTGCCGACAGATTCAGAGGCCAGTGCTGGGAACATCCTCCAGCTCTTCCAGGGCAAGAGCCGGATTCAGCGTCTTAACATCCTCAACTCAAAGTTCGCTTTTAACCTTTACCGAGCACTGAGGGAACACACCAGTACTTCCGACAATATCTTCATAGCCCCAGTGGGCATTTCTACCGCCATGGGTATGATTTCCTTGGGCCTGAAGGGGGAGACTCACGAACAAGTGCACTCAATTTTGCATTTTAAAGATTTTGTCAATGCCAGCAGCAAGTATGAGATCATGACTGTTCATAATCTCTTCCGTAAACTGACTCATCGCCTCTTCAGGAGGAATTTTGGATACACACTTCGGTCAGTCAATGACCTTTACATCCAGAAGCAGTTTCCAATCCTGAATGACTTCAAAACTAAAGTAAAAGAATACTACTTTGCTGAGGCCCAAGCAGCTGACTTCTCAGACCCTGCCTTCGTATCAAAAACCAACGACCACATTCTGAAGCTTACCAAGGGCCTCATTAAAGATGCTCTGGACAATATAGACCCAGCCACTCAGATGATGATTTTAAACTGCATCTACTTTAAAGGTAATAGTTTTATGTTTCTCAAAGCAAAGTTGCAACTTACTCTTTTAGTACACATGCAGGTGGACTGAACGACAAGGGCTGTGTTCTAGCTCTGATTTACCCAGAAAACCAAGACACGATGTCAACTCACGGAGACAGGTTAGGTCATGATGAGGTGACAGTGGGGGCTGACACTTCCTGGAGCCCTAACTTTGTGCTTTACACTCATTGAATCCTCACAACCTTGTGAGACTGTCACTGTTATTAGCGCCCGCATTTTACAAATGGAACCACTAAGGGTACATAGAAGTAAAATGACACCCCAAGTGCACAGGTAGGTCACCCCAGGCAGGCCATCTTTAGCACTTTGTTAAACTGGAAAAAATAATACAAAAATTTTTTTAGTATTTGGCCATCCTGGATTTTTTCATTCCCATGCCCGATTATCAGTAAGCAGGAACATGGACAAAAGGCCGAAGTGAAAACTGTTCAGCTTGAGTAACGGACAGTAATGCCTACAGCTCTTCAGGGGACACTTCTGTACTAATATACTTCTGTGGGCAGGTGTAGGGGCAAATAAACTATTATTTGTAGAGCAACTCTTCTAGGCCAGGCACCGAAACACTTTTTAAAGACGCTACTCCCTCCTCACTATACACACAAGACCCCCTGAAGTCTTAGAAACTAATGGGCACAGATTTATAAAATCCAGACATCTCTTTTTAAAATGCCCTCAACTGGGACCTGCACAAGAAACCTACACTTCACTCTACGAGCCTAGAGAGCTTAGGGGCAGACACAGGAGTGAGTCAGCATCACAGCTGGTCACTGTGACACAAACCACTTTCTTCTCTGCTGCCAAGAAATAGCAGGCACCCGCCAGGGTAAGTCCCCATGGTTTGGGAGGCCAGGCTTCCTGGGTAGTCAGCTACAGTGCAGTTTACAACAGTCCAGAGAGGCAAGGGACTGAGGTCTCTCTTGGCTGCTGCTGTGGGGCTAGTGCCCCTCAATGGGCCCATACACTGCTTTGTGCCTATGCCAAGGCCTCCCAACAGCTGTGCCAGGCAGGTACTCTGCCAGATGAGCAAAGGACGGCTGAAGAAACCAAGACCACAGGAATGAGCTGACTCCCCACAAAAGTCAAGCACAGCGCTGTCGTTGTGATGGGTGGGACCAAAGGTTTGTGACAGACACACAGACACACATGCTACACGGGTATCCCCAGCTTTCCAAAAGTTACTGCTTTTTTCTTTTACAAAAAGAGCTACATTAGTACAGAAACAGCTTTCTTTTTTTTGTAAAAGTGAAAATACTCTTTGGATTTCTTTAAGAAAAACAGGTACTCTTCACTTTATACCATTTTGGCTTACAAAAGGTTTCACAGGACTGCTCTGTTCAGGTAGTGGAGGAAACCTATGTATGTGAAGAACACAGACATATTCTTTCTATTACTGGCTAGCAGTACAAGTTTCAGAAGTGAGCAAATTGCAGTCTGAGCCCTGGCTTCACCATCCCTTATTTGTGTGGCCTCAAGTAAGTCATTCGTTGTCTCTGTGACTCAGTTTCCTCACCTTTATCAGGGAGATAACACCTACCGACAGGGCCGTGGGCAGCACTGTGAGAGACAGTGATGCCACACGTTAGCCCGGTGCATGGCATGCAGCAAGGCCCCAATAAACCTGGATGAGAAAAACATGTAGATTCCAATATTATATATTAAGTATGTACATTGCTAGTGACATTTATTTTACCTCCATAAGCAACTGCTGTTTAGGAATGACTCTAGAACAGGCACCTGCACACCAAAGCCCTTGGCCCTGCCAGTCTGTGGGCAGCCCTGGGCCCTGACAGCCTCTACACTAAGCTGGCTGGGCGCTGAGGAGGGAGACACACAGCAGCAAGCCATCCCCACCGGAAAGGGCTGGGGAAACAACTAGGGTGGCCAGTTTACAGTCTCCCAAACTCAATGACCAGTGTCTCACCGAAGTGGCAAAGTGGCAAACAATACATCCTTTTTTCTTCCCATCATATTAGAACGGTAACTCAATTTAGTCCTGGCAATAAGAGGGGTGAAATGCTAGTAACATCCAGTCTTTCATGGATGCTTATCAAAGGAGAGTTGAGTCTAAAAGAGTAATTTTAATCTCTAGCTCCCAAATTTGTTACTAATATGATTTTAATTTCAAATGCTATAACTGCTTTGTAAAGCACAATAAAACACAGGTGGGGCCTCAACCGGAAGTCAAAGGAAAGAATCCCAGGAGACATAAGACAGCTCCATCAGAACTGGAAGAGCAGTGATTCTCAACAAGGGAACAATTCTGCCGCCAGGGCAAATGGCAGGAGCCATTTCTGGTTGTCTCAACCTGGGACAGAAGCAGAAGCATTCCTAGCATCTAAGGACAGTCCAGAAGCTAGGCCAGGGATGCTGCTAAACATCCTACAATGTACAGGAGGGCTACCCTCCACAGAGAACTGCCTTTGTCAACAGTGCTTGAAGCTGTGGGCAGAGGTTGGCTCAGGGAGGACACCTAGCTACAAATCAGAAGCAGGCGGTCTTTAAATTTCCTCCAAAGGAACCTCCTGCTTGTCTCATCCAGCTGATCTACCCATCAGTTGCTCTACTATGTGCTTGTTGCCTCATTTGTAAAATGGCACTAATAAGAAAAAGCACCCGTCTCCATACAGTTGCTGGAGGAGAAAATGAGATAATACAGGAAAGGTGCTTAGAAGAATGCCTGCCTCGTCACTAGTTCTCAACTGTCAGGCATCCATCATTACTAGTTACTAGCACCTTGGAGCTAAATTAGTCTTATCTTCCTGGATACACAGCACTGCACCCAAATCTAAAGTGAAGATCCTGATGGCAGTGTTGCATCACCAACGTGTCTTGTTACTTCTTACAGAATTGCAGAGTGACAGGGCTAAAAGCCATCAAAACAGATCTGCCATGAGCTCAAAGCTACACATTTTACAGATGAACAAGTAGAGGCCGAGACAAGGCAGGTGTCTTGCTAGGGTCAATTAGTTATTGTCAGAATCTAACCCAGAACCTACTCCATTCTATTTATCCTCTTCATCATTAATTATCATGCTTCCTACAGGTATGTTAGTGTTTTGATCTTAGAATCCTCTAAAACAGTCGTTCTCAAAGTGTGGTTTGCAGACCAGGCGTGTCAGCATCACCTGGGAACTTGTTAGAAATGCCAGTTCTTGGCCCAAACCAGACTTCTGGGATCAGAAACTCCGGGGGTGGGACCTACAGTCCAAATAAGGCCTACAGGGGCTTCTGATGCACGCTTACATGTGAAGACCACTGCTCTAAAAGAACATTTTCATAAAAGCCCTGTTCCTGTTGACTTCACAGGATCCTGGGTAAATAAATTCCCAATGGAGATGACCCACAACCACAACTTCCGGCTGAATGAGCGAGAGGTGGTCAAGGTTTCCATGATGCAGACCAAGGGGAACTTCCTGGCGGCAAATGACCAGGAGCTGGACTGCGATGTCCTGCAGCTGGAGTACGTGGGGGGCATCAGCATGCTAATTGTGGTCCCGCACAAGCTGTCTGGAATGAAGACCCTCGAGACACAGCTGACGCCCCAGGTGGTGGAGAGATGGCAGAAAAGCATGACAAACAGGTACTTCAGGTTGAGTGTTTGTTCTTGTAATTTCCAGGGCCCTGGGGGAGCCCAGGAATATTGGAGCTTCAGTCATTTTTTAGAATAAGGGTGAAGTCTGTATTAATACCTGAGAACTGCCACACTGGGCCACTCTGTTAATTCATCCCAAATTTCTTGCTTGGTGAGAAGCAACCAGAGCATCTGTGAGAAATACAGTTCTGCTCTCCATAATGACAGAAGTTAGGGACAGGTGACCCGGAGTCAGCTTGAAGACAATCCTGGCTCTGCCATGTACTTACTTTGTGGCTTTGAGCCCTGGCTTTGCTATCCAAAAAGTGGCATGATCCCACAACTCTCAAGGGTCACTGGGGGAAATAAACAGAAAAGCAGTATCGAGCATCCCTCACGGTGCCTGGAACCTGGGAGGTGTCCAACAAAGATGCCTCCCCTTCCTCTCCCCAAGAAATCCTGAGGTCCTCTTAATTCATTAAGGACATGTCATTCATGATTTTCCTGTTATTATTTGTTAGTCCATAGTCAAAACTACAGGTTTTAAACACTTACTAAGATCGTTATTGGATCACAGCAGAAAACAGGAGTTACTTTCTGTTTCACTGGATACTGGCTAGGCCCATATTAAGAAGTAAATCTAGTGTGGATCTCCTTTTAGGACAAGAATATAATAAACTAAGAAGCAGCCTCTTAGAGGAAGGTATTTGCCCAGGTAGCTAATTAGTTATCAAGCCTTGACAACTTTTCCTTAAAAATAGCCCCTCTGTACTTGTTTCCTTCCTAACCACACTGCCCATGACCTTCTACCCTGAACCTACAAAGGCCTAACCAGCCTACCCACTTCCAGTCCTCAATTCACCCAGACACTGGCCACCAGAAGAGCATTCTCTCGACACCATCTCTACCCGCCTCTCCTCAGGAACTCTCTGTGGATCCCCACCCACGGGATACAGCCCATCTTCTTGGCCTGCTCTGCCCCACCCTCACGCCTCCTCCTGTCTGGTGCCCTCCTGTACGCCAGCCTCACACTCCTTACAGGCCTTTGCTCACACATGGGCAGACTTCTAGGTCACAGAAATACCCCTTCACCACATGCCCTCTTGGATGGTTCCAGTAGTTAGATCTCTTCTAGTTGGTCAGACATCAACATACCATTTTTATGCCTTCATTGCTTCACATGGCAGTCCTGGATTGCCAAAACGAAAGCAAGCTCTTGAGAAGGGGAATAGCATCCAATGTTTCTTTATCCCTGTGAAGGCTGGAGTTGCCCCCAAAGGCTCTATCGTTGCTGTTTATCCAGCTGAGGACTAAATGAGTTGAGGCAAGGAATGAAAATGCTTAGCACTGTCTGGTATATAAAGGGTTTCTTTTTTAACCACACTGACCTTAGTTAAACAAAGTAAGAAATGTCTGAAATTAGGGACCCAAACAGAATTACTTGAGATGCCTTCTCAAACCATAAACCACTGGCAGATTTGCTGCTGACGTGGAAGACAGGACATGAACCACCCAGTATAGAGGAAATACCTTACACAGCAGTAACCACGCCTTAATTTTCAGTAACTGGAATTGCAATAAGATGGTCTTTCCGAAACTCTCTACTGACAGTACCGGGGTATGTTAACAAGTGCTGTGTCAATTCTGTGGTAGCACCACTCCCAGGGGCATGTAAAGAAAAAACCTGATTCTTTTGTAACTTGCAGTTCATAAAACTGGGCTCCCTTTTATTCTGTGACCAGAACTCGAGAGGTATTCTTGCCCAAATTTAAGCTGGAGAAGAACTACAACCTGGTGGAGGCCTTGCAGTCAATGGGGCTCACAGCGCTGTTTGATAAAAACAGCAACATGACAGGAATCTCAGACAACAGGATCACCATCGACTTGGTAACCTCTCCCCTCTGCCCTCTGCCCCATCCCCTGGGTCTGCCCCCAGCAAAGCTTCCTTCTGCCCCACCCTGACCTCACATGTCGGGGGAGCGGGGTCTACTCTCCCTGAGTCTGCCAGACGCTGTGTGGGCAGGGCAGTCTGTCTCAGGAAGCAGCATGGGGCTCAGCACTGTTCCTGCTGACACCAGAGAGAGGAGGTATGCGCTCCACTCTGAAATAGCTACTCCCAGCTGAATCATGAAAGACCTGTTAAATACATGCAGAGACACTGTGCTACTTGCACGCTGAACTTAACACACCAATGACAGGCATGCTGCAAGAAGGGGAGAACACTAGTCCGAACACTGTGTGGCTCCAGGCCCCATCCTTCTCCTGGCAGCGCACCCCAGAGTGTAAGGAGGACATGGTGCCCGCAGCCTCTGTCTGGGCTCGCAGGCTGCTCATACTGTGACCACCAGCAAGAATGATTATGATGCTAGAGTTTAAAGATAAGTATTTAAACAACATGGCCTCTAAGCACAATTACCATACCTGACAGGAGATTAAAAAGCCTTTCAAGGGTCACTCTGACCAGATGTGGTCTGTGCCTTGTATGTGGGCTTTCAACCTGTTCCCTGAATGAGATGCAACTCCACCATATCTTCTATCCCTCTATGTTGCAATGATAGAATCTAACAACTTTCCCTTATATTTTGAAACAGTTCAAGCACCAAAGTACCATCACAGTGAATGAGGAGGGCACCCAAGCTGCTGCTATTACCACGGTGGGGTTCATGCCGCTGACAACTCAAGTCCGTTTCATGGTTGACCGCCCCTTCCTGTTCCTCGTCTACGAGCACCGTACCAGCTGCCTGCTCTTCATGGGGAAAGTTGCCAACCCCACCAAGTCTTAAAGGTGGAGGTCTGGGTGTCTCAAGTTTTGGGAGCACTCTGTAATTGCTCCCATTCTAACAAGGAGAACAGAGACGTGTGGCATCATGCCCTTTGTGGTTTATGCTACCATTCTGAAATTGAGGCCCACATGAGAGAAGAAATTTAGCAACAACTGAGAAGCTTGCTGAAATCAATTCTGCATAGTGAACAATGCTGTCAGTTCATAGAAGTTAATGTACCTACTGTAGCGTGTCCGCTGTTACCTAGAGGAGCAACATACAGACTGGCTTACCTCCCTGGGCACTTCCTTCCCTGTAGCCCCCATCCTTGCACATCTGGATCTATTACTCAAAGCCTTTCTCAACAAGGGCTACTCATCTAAACACAGAACACAGAAATAAGCGGCGTGACTAATTCCTCGCTTTTCTCAAGGACGGTGCGCAGCTGGCGGCACCGTTCCTGAGGCCCAGGAGAGGAGCCACCTTGTGATATTCAAGGGGTGCCCTGGGCATTAGGGCTCAATTCTGGCAAAGGCCCAACCTTCTGAACTGATTGATGCTGTCATCTATACTCCTGCTGTCACCTCACTGCTGCCCAGAGGACAGTATGTACACATGGCCTTGCCTCCTACCCTAGAGATAAATAAATATGACCACTTTTACTGTGTATCTGTTATAATTCTAATTTTTGAAGCTCAAATGACCAAGAAAGGCCAAATTCAAAATAGCTGATATCCCCAGAAATGAGAGAGGTTGAGAAAAAGTCACTTGAATTCTCCACAGTGACTCATGTGCAGGCCATGTTCTCGGGTGAGTATTGCTAAATCCTGGGGCGGCGCTGCTGTGGATGGGGCTGCGTGGGGAATTCCTGAAATGCCTTTTTTTTTTTTATACTTTGCCTTTTAAAAAAGATTTTATTTATTTATTTTTAAGTATATTTTATTGCTTATGCTATTACAGCTGTCCACTTTTTTCTCCCCTTTCTCCCCTCCACCCAGCACTGCCCCCCACCCACATGTCACCCCCTTAGTTCCTGTTCATGGGTCGTACATACAAGTTCTTTGGCTTCTCCATTTCCTATACTGTTCTTAGTATATTTTGTGCCTACCAATTATGCTTCTTATCCCCTGTATCTTTTTCCCCCATTCTCCCCCCACCCCCTCCCCACTGATAACCCTCCATGTGATCTCTATTTCTGTGATTCTGTTCCTGTTTTAATTGTTTACTTAGTTTTGTCTTATTTTTTTATTTGGGTTCAGTTGTTGACAGTTGTGAGTTTGTTGACATTTTACTGTTCATAATTTTGATCTTTTTTTTCTTAGATAAGTCCCTTTAACATGAAATGCCAGCCTTTATGTGGGGCACATTTCGGCTTTCGTCCCTGGACACTGGGAGCCTCTCAGATGTGCTCCTGTCTGATTTGATAAAGCAAACAACATCTGAGGCAGACATTTCTGGATTCTTCGCTACCTGGGTAAGACAAATGGAATCCAAAGAGGCTGCTCAGAGTTCAAGAGCACTGGGGACAACGGGCAGTGCCAGGGAGAGCACAATAAGCACTGTGCCTGCAGCCGTCCAACTGAGACCCCGCAGCCGGGCCATCTCTCTGCAGGGCAGCAAGATCTGGCTCAGCAGGGTGCTGGAATCTGCCAAGATGCCACCGCAGTGAGTGGCGGGCCCAGGCTGGGCTGACTTCAGGGTCATGTGTGGAGTCTTATCACAGGGCCTCTGACCCATGAGAACAATACCAGTCAGGGGGACAGCAAAAGGGGAGCACCTAGTGCTCCTCAACGTAGAGGGTAGTGCGATCAATGTGCCCCGGGTAATCTCACACTGACTCTGACAGGTTCGAACTATTATCGCCTCTTTTTTGCAGTTGAAGAAACAACTAAAGCTCACAGAGGTAAAGTGATCTGCCCCAGGCCCTGCTTTTCACGGCTAACCCTCTCTGGCTGCTCCCTTCCCAACTTCCTGCACCAGGATCTGCCTTTGCCTTGTCTACGGACCAGTAAAGGGTTGAAATCAAGTCTTTCCTTGTCACACCCTCTTGACCTCTAAGTGAAACCTGAGGTTGCTAATGACCCACTCCTTGAATTCCTTCTCCAGTTTGCTTCAACACTACTCTTTTCTGGTACTTATCCTACATTTCTCATCTTGCTGCTGGTTCCTCCTGCTCCTCCTACTCCTAAATGTAGCTACCTCAAAAAACTCTGCTTAGCCCTTCATCTCATCTGTCTCCGAGCCAACCTCTGCTGGAGCCAGCCCAACCTTCTCTATGACCTCACGTCCACACAGGTTGAGGCCCTCCACTCGTGCGTGCTTTTCACTCACTTATATCCACTCAGAATGCCCTTGGATCCCCTCTTTCTGAAACTAGCTAACCCATTTTTCAAAGCAGGAGAGTACTAATTCAGAGAACAGACCCTGGGCCAAGCTACTTGGGTTTGAATCTAGATCTGACATTTAGTGGTTGTGGGACTCTAAGGCAAGTTCTGTGCCTCAGCTTCCCCATCTGTAAAGTGGGGATAATAACAGAACCTACCTTGCAAGGTTGTTGGGAGGATTAAGTTGAGTTAATGTCTGGAAGCAGTTTAGATCTGTGCTTGGTGTTAACAAGAGCTAATAAGTAAGGACTTCCTGTGACTATCTTCATCTGAAATAGTGTCTAGCCTAGGGGTTCCTAACAGGTGGGACTTGGCTGGGTTCCTCCCACTTAACTTTCTGAGGGTGAATGCTAACCCTTGTGAACAAGTGCATTTTTTTTTCTTTTTTTTGGAAGGAAAGGGCACAGCCTTCAGAGTGCTCCATGATCTAAAAATTGTGAGCCCACAAATCTCGTCTTACAGGCACTGAGAAAACAAGTAACCTGCTACTGGTAGCACAGGTCAACGAGCTCTAAGTCAAGGTCACAAATGTTTTTCAAGTAGAAGGAACATGTTACTAAATCACTACTTGACAATGGAGCAAGCAGCCCTCTAAGCAACAGATAACTTTCAAAGTGCTTAATTAACTAAAGGGCTAGACACCAAGAGAAGCACTTTAGTCAGTGATATTTTTGAAGAAATGTTATTTATGAAGTTGCAGGACAAAGGTCACCAAACCTAAGCAGGAAGGAACCTCAAAGATCACTAGACCTAGCTCTCCAGCAACTCCCTCCAGGTTCCCAAGGTCACTGATAAGTAAGTGAAAAGCTGTATTAGGGCCAACACTGGCTTCCAGCCCCAAACCCACCGAAACGTCCACTGAACAAAGTAATGTGAAGTACTTGTCATCAAAAGATCCAAACCAGAGAATCTTTATCTAAAAAATAAATAAATAAAACCCACAAAACATTAAAAAAACAAAACAAAAAACTTTGGAGATTAGTTTCTCCTAGTAGGTTCAAGGGGTAACCAGAAAGCAAATCCAAGAACCCATGATCTCTGTGTTCTTTGTTGAGCAACAGAATCAAATATTTGTTTCCTCCCCCATAATATAAACATTAACTTTTGCTAAAACTATAATACTTATTCTGTTCATGCAAAAGGTCACTGCAGCAGAGGAAAGAGTCATATTTTAAGTATGTTCTAGCCTATCATTGCTAACACCTATGCCTACACTGACTCAGCCAGAACTTCAAAGGGTTGCCTCCGTCTTTTTGAGAAGCTCTGCTGGCACAGGAAGTGTAGAGAGGAGGTGTTCACTCAGGATCCCACATGCAGGATCAGAGGTTCAACCTTGGCCCTTGTGACCCTAAGCCAACCTCACCAGTCAATCACTCCCCAAAAGTACTAAATGTCTCCTCTAGATTTCTTATTAATTTATTAAACTCTAAATGACAATAGCTAAACACATTTATAACTTCACAAGCTCGTGGGCCATAGAATTCCGGGTACACTGATGCGAGTGTCACCTCACAGCTCCCTCCCTGCCTGCCAAAACCTGCTCACCTACGGCGCCTGCCGCCCAGTCCTTCTCCCCTTCAACAAGCTGGGCAAGTACCATGGACTTTATACCTCTCCTTCCAGTTCAAACAAAGGGTCCGTGTGCAATAACACTGCCCAAACACAACTGTACACTAGTTAATGTTAAGTATAAAGTGAAAAAATTTATGTTTTTAAAAATTAACCAATGAGGATATTGATGAAAAATACCATGAGAGAAAGAGCCCCAGTCTCAGAGAGCTATAGGAGAACACCTGATCACAAGCACAAAACAGTAAGGTTTCCAAGGGAATGTGAAAAGTCGTCATGATACAGGCCCCACCCCCTTGTCTCCTCAAGCATGTTGAGAAAGAGGGGAATGTGCTGACATAGATGTGACAGAGGAACAATGTACTCTGCTTCCCTTCCTGAACCAGCCACTTACTGGAGGGAGGGACAGAAGAGAGGAGCACAGGCAGAGGGAAGAGGAACTGGAAACATAAGGCTCCACAAAATGCAATGTGCCATCTTAAGTAAGGGTGAAGAAGAATAACCAGTCAGTTACTATTTCTAATCCATCTCAGCCAGCTAAAATTAAACCACTGAAAAGCCCCCAGATTCAGAATAAAAAACAGCCAGACTGCAGCAAGTACAGAAAGTGCTTTGTGGAGATCAGAGAGGTGCCTCTCCATCTGTTTGCCTGACCTCTATGCCTGAGTCACCAAAGCAGCTCAGAGGTCAACCCCTTTGGTGTCCATGTGAAGGGACACATGTGTAGGTGCTCAAGACCCAAACTACTAGGGGTGGGGTCAGATGGGAAGAAACTAGAAGGCAGAAAAAAGGGCTTAACTAGAAGGAGGGCCTGGCTTAGGACTAGCAGTGGGAATGACTGAAAAAGAGAAAAATGACTTTAAAAAAATCATTTGAGAAGTGGCTGCTGGTTGAGACAGGAAAAGATGGAGACCGGTGCTCTACCAGGCAGTGCTATGGCAGGGGGCAGGGCCTATACCACAAGCTGCCCACCACGGTGGTAGGTGGGGCTATGCCCCAAAGCATGCTGGGCCCACCACGCCAACAATGCCCTCCAGGGGACATAGAGAACTGCAGCTTCAAGGCCTGAGGACCAACCGGAGGCCTAAGGCCTCCTTTTGCAGAAGGGCTTAGGAGGACTTAAAAGCGGGTGCCCGCCTGTATTAGAGGCACCACAGCAGAACCTGAGACACAGGAAGAGCCCAGAGTCAGACCACAGACCTGAGAGCCATGCAAGACAGAACTGAAGTGGGTTCCCTGGTTAACCTGCTGAAAATGGTCAGGAAAGGCTTAGAAAGGGAGTAAGGTGCTGTGGCCACAGTGGCACATACCTATGGGACAGTTACAGAACAGCTGGTGGTGACTAAAGCACAGTGACATCCACAGAATCACTGGCACCTCAAAACAGCATTTTTCTAAGGAA